CTGCTGAAACAGAGCTGCTGCTGCAACGGGTGCGTTTGCGCGCGTTTGGTTTTCTCGCTGCTGCTGCTGCTGCAGCTGCAGCAGCTGCTGCAGCAACAGCAGCAGCAGCATCAGCAACAGCAGCAGCAGCAGCAGCAGCAACAGCAGCAGCAGCAGCAAGAGGTTGTCTGCTTAGGGACTGCGGTGGCTGTGACAAGGAGACAGTTCGATTGGTGGCAGCAGCAAGTCTGTGTTGCTGCAGCGGCCTGCAGCAGCAGCAGCAGCTGCTGCTTCTGCTGCTGTATGTAAAAGACAGGTGCTGCTGCTGATGTTGCTGCTGCTGCTGCTGCTGCTGCTGCTGCTGCTGCGCCTCGACGGCAACACAGAAGACCAACCCCCGCCCCTGCTGCAGGGGCTGCCGCTGTAGCAGCAGCTGCTGCCTTGCGGAGACACCTCGTTGATGTCTGCTGCTGCAGCAGCAGCCTCAGCTGCTGCTGCTGCTGCTGCTGCTGCTTCTGCTGCTGCTTCTGCTGAACCCCAAGGGCTGCGCTCTCCCCAAGCAGCAGCTCTGCTGCTGCTGCTGCTGCTGCTCCTGTGTCTTCTCCTCTCAAGGGGGGAGAATGTGCTGCGTCCCCTACCAGCAGCAGCAGCAGCAGCAGCAGCTGCTGCTGCTGCTGCCTTCATCTTACGCGAACGCAGAGCCCGGAGGCGGGCCTCAGCAGCAGCTGCTGCTGCTGCTGCTGAAGGGGAGGCTGCAGCAGCAGCAGCAGCAGCAGCAGCAGCGGGAGAAGCAGGAGACCCCAACAATGTTGTTGATGGAGACAGAGCCAAACTGTCTCCTTTTTGTGTATCCCGCAGCAGCAGCCGTGCTTCTGCTGCTGTTGCTGCTGCTGCTGCTGCTGCTGCTGCTAAATCCTTGTGGCTGCTGCTGCTGCTGAATATGCTGCTGCTGCGCCGCCTCGCCACTCTGCTGCAAGGAGACAGAAGAGACAGTGGAGGAGACACATCTCGTGCTGCTGCTGCTGCTTTCCGTGCTGCAGCAACCCTTGCAGCAGCAGCAGCAGCTGCTGCTGCTGCTGCTGCTGCTGCTGCTCCACCTTGCGGTGCTGCAGCAGAAGCAACTCGCCGCCTCTGCGGCTTCAGCAGCTTCTCAGGGGAACCAAGACGGTTTGCTGCTGCTGCTGCTTTTGCTGCTGCTGCTGCTGCTGCTCTTCGTGCTGCTGCTGCTGCTGTTGTTTGGGCCGCAGCAGCAGCAGCAGCAGCAGCAGCAGGTGGTTCTCGCTGCTGCAGCGGCTCTTCCTTAAAGAAGCAAATCTTTCTCCCTAGGGTTGCTCTGTTGTAGTGCTGCAGTGCTGCTGCCTTCTGCTGCTGCCGCTGCTGCTGTTGCTGCAGCAGCTGCTGCTGCTGCTGCATGCGTCTCAGTGCTGCCCGGGTAGCAGCACTTCCTGCTGCTGCGCTGCTGCAGCTGTCAGCAGCAGCAGCAGCAGCAGCAAACTGCTGCTGCTGGCGAGCTGAGAGAGGCTTTGCAGGAGAGCTGGAGGACCTTGTAGATGCTGCAGCCTTTCTTGCTGCTGCTGCTGCTGCTGCTGTTCCTGCTGCTGCTGCTGCTGTTCCTGCTGCTGCTGCTGCAACACTCTCCCGCAGCTGGCCACTCCTGGCAGCAGCAGAAAGCCCTAGCCTCGACTGCAGCAGCGGGGGTCCTGTAGGCAGCTGACTGCTGCAGTCACCAGCAGCAGCAGCAGCAGCAGCAGCAGCAGCAGCAGCAGCAGCAGATGGTGATGCTGCTGCTAGAGGGAAGCTGCCTTGGGGGCACGGCGAGCAGTGGGGGGCCAGCGGAGCAGCAGCTAAGCTTAAGCAGCAACTTGCAGAGTGTTGCTGCTGCTGCTGCTGCAGCAGCTGCTGCTGCTGCTGTTGCAGCAACTGCTGCTGCTGATGCTGCAGCAGCAGCAGCTGGTGCTGCTGAGCCCGCAGTCTCTCCCCAGGAGCACCGCAGCAGAGGCAGCGGCCTGCTGCTTCTTCTGTGTCTCTTGCGTTGGTATCAGCAGCAGCAGCAGCAGCAGCAGCAGCAGCAGAAGCAGCAGCAGCAGCAGGATAAGGGGTTTCATGCAGCAGCTTCCGCAGCTGCTGCAGCTCATTGCAGAGGCTGCTGCTTCTCGATGAGGCCCCCGGGGAGCCACTGCAGCAGCAACCTGCTGCTTCAGCAGCAGCAGCAGCAGCTGCTGCTGCTGCTGCTGCTTTGGCTCCTCCTCCTGCTCCTGCTGCTGCTGCTGCTGCTGCTGGTTCTGCTGCTGCTGCTGCAGCAGCATCGCGGCAGCAGGCACACGGGGGGGGGAGACTGCAGCAGCAGCTGCGGGCAGAAGCTGGGCGGCCCCACCCCCCACAGCAGTTGTTGCTGCTGCTGCCTCCGCAGCAATGCTGCTGCTGATGTTGCTGCTGCTGTTGCTGCTGCTGCTGCTGCTGTTGTTGCTGCTGCTGTTGCTGCTGCTGCTGCTGCTGCTGCTGTTGCTGCTGCTTCTGGGATAGTAGTAACTGCTGCTGCATCTTCGTTTCCAGTGGTTCCCTGCTGCTGCTGT